ATGTAGCTGGTTGCTGAATCACAAGGACTGTCTCTAGGGAACTGGGGCTTCTCTGAATAGTTCCATCCCAAAGAAGGATGAGTAATTTATCTGCTGGCTCCTTCCTGTCTCCTGTCTTCCATTATTAAACATTTGTCTCATAGACAATAATTTTCATATTTCGTTACTCTCAGCCTTTCCAGGCAGCCCTGGGGAAGCCAGAGCTCTATGAGTATAGTCTGTTGGCTCTGGATGCTAGAGCTACTCTGGCCCCGACTATGCTGAGTATGATGAAGACCACTGAAGCCAAAGTCCAGCCCTTTTCCAGGGGAAGTGGAGACCAGTGTGGTGTTAGGAGAAGAGATGATGGCAGTTGCCAGAGTTTTAGAACCAAGGAAACGAAAGGGGCCAAAGCTGGGTCCCCTCAAGACAGGAAGCCAGGCCAGTGACTATAGCCTAGAGGTAGGAGAATTAAGTATACAGGCAAAGCTGAGTCAAAATTGATGGGAGCACAAAATGGGTCTGGTGGGTACCCATACTACTTGTGAAATGGGTTGAAACTTACTTTATGGATTAGTATGTAGTCAAGTTTTTGCAGATATGCTTGAAAAGGATGTTTAATAAGTGTTAAGTGCAAGGTTCTACATATCTGGAGGTTATTTTATTTTGTGTTTGTATAAATTTAAAAATCTATTTGCTGACAAAAATTTCAAATGTATCTAATTGTCTAAAGAAGTTATGGTTCATATATACAATGGAATATTACTCAGCCATTAAAAAATGAAATCCTATCATTTGCAAAATATGGATGGACCTAGAGGTTATTATGCTGAGTGAAAAAAGTCAGACAAAGATAAATACCATATGATTTCACTTAGATGTGGAATCTAAGGAACAAAAAGAACAAGCTAATCAGAAACAGACTCACAAATATAGAGGACAATTTAGGATTGGCCAGAGGGGAGGAGGTTGGAGGTGCTGGGAGAATGCGGTGAAGGGTTAAAGAAGTACAGATTAGTAGTTGATAGATGGTCACGAGAATGGGGAGCATGGCATAGGGAATGCAGTTAGCATTAATATAATGGCTAGGTAGAGAGCCAGAGGAGAGAAAGAGCAATTAGGGGGATTGTTTTATAAACTATATAAATGTCTAATCAATGTACTGTATACTTGAAATTAAAAAATAAAATTAAAAAAATTCAAGTGTACAGAAAAGTAGAAAGAATAGTAAATATCTACCACCTATATTTCATACTTGTTGACCTTTTGCCATTTTTACTTCAACCGTTTTTCTTCCTGAAGTAAATTACAACTTTGTGTCATTTTACCCCAAATATTTCTGTATGCATCTCTAAATATTAAGGACATTTTTCTTATGTATAACATCACTGTCACAAATAATGAAGTTAATTCCTTACTATTATCCAATATCCAGATCATATTTACATTTCCCCAATTACACCATCACCCATATATTTTTTGCTGCTAATTTGTTCAATTCAGACCAAATCAAGGTCCACAACTTGTATTTGGTTATGTCTCTTAAGAGTCTTTCATGACATTGACTTATTGAAGAGATTGGGTCACTTGTGTGGTAGAATGTCCCACCTTTTAGATTTGTCTGTTAACTTCCAAGTGGTATCATTTAACTTGTTTCTCTAATTCTCATATTTCCTATAAACTGGAAATTAGATGTAAAAGTTTAAGTTAAGCATTTTTGATAAGATGCCTTTAAGTGACACAACATGAGATGTACTTCACATTCACATCAGGATGCACACGATATTTGATTTTTTCCTATTAGGGGATAGGATTATGCAGTCCAATTCTTGATTTTAAAGTTGGGGTTTCTTCTTGAAATTAGCAAGAAATTTGTGGAGGTGATACTTGAGCATTATGCAAATATCCAGTTCCCCATCAACTTTTTTACATAATGGTTTTAGCATCCATTGATGATCCTTGCTTAAATCAATTATTTCATTAGAAGTTGCAAACAATAATTTTCTATCATGCATCTATATTGATTAGCTACATTTTTTTTTCTGTGCAGAAGAGCTTTCCCTCACCACCTTGGGCTATCTTGTTACTTGAAAGTAGATTTCTATGGCAAAGCAGAATCATGCTTGATTTTTTTCTTTTAAAATACCATTTCCAAGCAAGAACTTGGTATGACAGCCTACTCCAGTGGTGACAAAAGGATTGTGTTTTTTTCTTTTCTTTTTTCTTCTCTTAGTTTATAAATTCTAACTTACTATATCTTCCTGGTGAAATAAACTTTTTATAATTATGTAGTGACTCTCTTTATCCTAAAGGTAGTTTTGTCTTTTTGTCCTAAATGCCTATTTAAAAAAAATGTTATATAGCTTCTCCAGTTTAAATCAGGTTGAGTGCTTGCTTTCTCTATCTTTTTCAATCTTTTTAGTTTTAATGGCTCTGTAACCTAATGTTTTAGCCATGTCTCTTATAAATAACATGTAACTTGATTTAACATTTGTATCCAATTTGACTCTATGTTTATGAGTTTAATATTTATTATGATTATTGATACCTTTGTTTTTACTATTCTACTTTATAAATTTTATTTGTTCCATTTTCTATGATTTCTCTTCTCCTTCTCTTCTTCCTCCTTCTTCTTTTGAGTTTGCTTGATTTTTTTTTTCTTAATCTATTCCTTGTTTTTATTGTTTTGGAAGTTAAACACTATTTTCTGTCTAATAAAAGTGACCATAGAGGTAACAATAGTAAGAACAGTAAGTATAGTAGTTGTGCCAACAGCATGACAGTACATTTTATATTACAACTTGTTTCTTGCTTGGGTAGACTTGGGGAGGGTGGAGAAGGAGAGGGCTGGCTCAGATCCTTTCCTCCCTTTACTCCAGCTCTTAGTGATCTGGGCTCTCACCAGAGAGTCTACTTCCATTCCATTGAGTGGGAACATGGCTTAGCAATGCCATCTGAGACCTTGGCCCTGAGGCTGACCTGTTCAGTGGCCTGTATCTCTCTTCTTGGAATGCTAAGAGCACCAGGGGCCAGCTGAGCTGGGGCTGCTGACTTCCTTCTAGGTGTCTGGGGTCTCTTACAGGAATGGAGGTCCTTTTCTATACCAAGAAATGCTGAGGCTGTGGCCAGAGAGGTGTTTCTAAGGTGACTCTTGCTCTGTGTCTGGTTTCTGGTGGATTCCCTGGTGGGCATGGCAGGGGATAAGCAGTTTACAGCACTGCAGAGAGGCAGCAACATCATGGCTCAGACTAGAATAAGAGACGAACAAAAAGAGAGTCAGATGACTTGAAAGTGGACAAAGCAGTGATGTGTCCAATACTAATCTTCCTTTTCTGAAGCTCTTTTCTCCTCTCTCTACCCTCTAGGGAAGTCTCATAAACCTTTCCACTCTCTTTCTAATCAGAATCTGTTCTCTGGAAAGTATCTGATAGTCTTATTCTGCCAGAGATTAGACAGTGATAAAGCTGGATATGCCTCATACTCTAAGGTATTTGCATTTAATGAGACTCTCTGCTCTAAGAAATTTCAGCTCTTAATGGTGGAATCCAGGCTATCACTTGCTGGATGTAAAGGGTTGTCTCAAAGCCATTTAAATCAAATCTCAGAATGATTTGGTATCCTAGGAGTAGAGGAAGGGAGGGAGGAACAACAGGCAAACATGCTCACCTTTCGGACATTGTAGATCCAGTTGAGATAGGCTGTGACCTTGGTGTATACTCCTGGGGTCTTCGGGTCCCCACAGCCACGGCCCCAGCTTACGATGCCTACCACTTGCCACAGGTCAGAGTGATACATCAGGGGCCCACCACTGTCACCCTGTGAGATGGCAGAACAGGGGCTGCTGGGGAGGGCAGGCAGGGTGGGATGGAGGGGTGGGATGCAGGAATTTGTTCTCTTGTGCTCCCCCAGAACTTTTTCCTGGCCTGCCTCACTCCCTCTGTTCGTATTGTTCTTGCAGCCTATAATGCCCTTCTCTTTTGGAGCAAAAGGATTCTGTGGGAGGTCAAGTAAGTTGTGAATGTGCCCAGAGCACTCTCTCTCAGAGATCCACAACTCAGACTAGCAGATTGAAGGCTCTAAGCGGTCTTGCAGTAAGGAAGCCTGGTTATCTTTGTTTAATTTCATATTTTCCAAATGTATTTAATCACCCATGTAGTGCCTATTTCATGCTAGGCACTGTTCTGAACAATTAGGATTCAATCAATGAAAAGAACAAAGATCCCTGCCTTTAGGGAGCTTAGAATCAAATGGAGAAGAGAGAAAGAGACAATAAACATCCAAATAACAAAACAGACAAGAAAATATCAGATAGTAAAAAGTTATACTTTTTACTGCCTGTTTTTGCATCTTTCCCATCCCTACTGTGAGCTCCCTGGGGGAAGACACTAAGAGATATCTCTTGAGTGAAGTAATTTAATGACTGAGAACAGAGGCAGGAGCAAGATTAGGGATTTTAATGAGAAAGGCTCAGAAGATGCTCTGGGGCGGAGGAAGTGAGAATATATTCAGGAATTGGTCAGTGGGGATAGGGTGAGATGGCATTGTACCAGGACTCCTCTAGCATAAGATGAATTTTCTCTAGTGTAGTTCCACAGCTTGAAGACAGTTATAGAGAATATTGACCTGGGGTTCTTGCCCTTGAGGTACTCATACTCCCGGAGATGATGGAAAGTAAGTGTGGGTGAGGAAGGTAACATCATCTTTGTATGTGAAATACATATTCATTTAAAATCTTTCTGCTTGTATCCATCCATTCATCCTTTCCTATAACTTTACCTGACTATAAGCCATCTTTCCTTCTGTCTCTCTCTTCCTCCCTTCATCACACATTGAGTGCCTACCATATGCAAAACTTCATATGGGGCATTCAGACTTTGAACTTTCTCATCTTTCTAGGATCTACATCCCTATCCATAGAATTCCCTCATGATTCTTGGAGGCCTTACCTGGCAGGTGTCCACACCGCCCTCCAGAATGCCTGCACACAACATCTCCTTGGTAACTTCCCCCTGGTATGCATCCTCTGCATTGCATCGAGTTCTGTCAATGACCTGGACTGATGCCTGAAGCAGTGTGTCAGACAATGTCCCTGGGAGGTTGAAAACATACTCACATTCCGTCCTTGCCTTTTACCCCAGCCCACAATAATCCTCTGGGTTGTTGGGCATCTTGGTTCTTGGACCTCCAGGATGTTTTTTTTTCCCTGAAGGATGATCCTCCTTCCTATCACCTCTGAGAGCTGCTCCCTCTGCCCTGTCATCCTGTACTTACCTCCACCCTCTTCTGTGAAGCCCCATCCAATGACCCATAGTGGGGTGGCTGGAGTGAGCTCCTCATCAGAGAAGGGCAGGCAGATGGGCCTGACTGTGCCTGTCAGGAACAGAGAAGAAGAAGGGACCCAACATTCAAGAGAGCCTGGTGGCTAGGCCTTCTGACATGGTTGATACCAGGATTTCTATAACACACATTCCATGAGATGTTAGTAGAAGTGGTATGAGAAAAAGGGTTCTGTGGTCAAATAAGTTTAGAAAATGTGAATTGAGTTCCAGTCAAGATGGCAGAATACATGTGCTCACCTACCCTCGTGACCACATCAGAATTACAACTAAATTTTAGGACAATCAACCTGGAGAACCATTTGAAGAGTAGCTGAACAGAAATCCCATAACTAAGGATATAAAGAAGCCACATCAAGACTAGTAGGAGGGGTGGAGATGTGACATGGGCTAGCCCCACACCTGCATGTGGCAGTTAAGAATTGGGAGTGATATCTCAGCTACAGAGGTCCCTTCCTGAGGAGTGAGAGGGTCCTATCCCCACAAAAGGGTTCCCATCTCAGAGCACCAGTGCTGGGAAGTGGAGCCCCTACAACATCTGGATGTGAAAATCAGCAGAGATTCCTTCTGTCTGGGAGAGAAAGAGGACTGCTGGTAATCCAGGAGTCTTCTTAAAGGGCCCACACACAGAGTCATGTGTTTGTAGGCATTTGCCCTGGGCTCTGGTGGAGGGAAAGTGGCTCAGGAGGTGCCAGGGACATACAAGGAGAAACTGAGTTGTGTGGCTTCAGGATGAGGGCTGGAGGGACAGTTACCATTGTCCCTGTTTTAAGCCCTGCTGCCACATGGACAAATCCGAATCTATATTAGCCTGTTGAACTCCATTTGCTCCATCCTGAGACCCTGACACACCCAACTTGTGTACAGCTAGAGGTTCTTTCAGAGGCAGGCAGTGACCCTTGGCCCATGATGCTGTGGTCTTTCTTAAAAGCTCTCAAAGGACTGCAGGCCTTAGGCAGGTGGCAGCTGGCCTCAGTATGCCCTGTGCCTTATGCTGAGTGGCTGCAGGCTCAGCACTGGAGTCAAATCTGAATCTGCATTAACCTGGTGAACACTACTCACTCCACTCTGGTGACTGCCTGAGAACCCTCCTCTCCCAACTTTCATATTGCCCGGGGCTCTTTCAGCAGCTGAGCCTTACAGAGCAGCTAGCAGTTGGTGGCAGGACTCATTATGCCCTGTGCCTTTTGCTGAACTGCTCCAGGCCTGGTACTGGTGGCAGCAACCTCAGTTCATAGTTTTGCCTCTAGGTCCAGTACAGGGAGCTACCAACTGTGGATCTCTTAGCAGCTCCTAACAGGTAGCCCCAGGCCAGTCACAAGCAGTGGCTGACCTTGGCTGGTACTGGAGCCCTTCCCAAGAGACCCCAAAACCAACACACCCGATGCCTGGTTTAAGATCACAACAGAGCACTGCCTGATTAGCCTCTAAAGCAGCATACCCAAAAGGTGGTCTCAGCAGGTACTGGAGACTGCTGGGTCAAATCCCACACTGTGTGATCAGCCCCTATACAGCAGCTTGCACACTGTGGTCATGGCTAATCATCATAGCCAGTCAGCCTTAGGGTCAATCCTACACACTGACATGCCAACAGCAATCGAGGCTCAATGACAACAGGAGGGCATACACAACCCACACAAGGGACAGCCTCAGAGCACTTGGCTCAGGTGACCAGGAAGACTGTGCTGTTAGCCCCCACAGTACACCTACTACATAAGGCAACCCTGCCGAGAGTGGGAGACATAGCAGATCTACCTAATATATAGAAACAAACACAGAGAGGCAGCCAAAATGAGGAGATAAAGAAATATGTCCCAAATGAAAAAATAGAAGAAAACTGCAGAAAAATAATGAAATGAAATAGAAACAAGCAATCTACAAGATAGAGTTTAAAACACTGGTTATAGGATGCCCAAGGAACTTAGTGAGAACAACAAAGAAATAGTAAGAGCAAAAAAGAACTTAGAAACCATAAAAAGAAATAGTCAGAAGTGAATAATATAATAACGGAAATGAAGAATACATTAGAAAAAATCAACAGCAGATTAGATAAAGTAGAAGATAGAATTAGAGATTTGAAAGACAAGATAGCAGAAAACACCCAATCAGAACAGGAAAAAGAAAAAGAATTTTAAAAATGAAAATAGTTTAAGAGACCTCTGGAACAACATCAATAATAACAACATTTGCATTGTAGGGGTACCAGAAGGAGAAGATAGAAAGGGATTGAGAATCTATTTGAAAAAATGACTGTAAACTTCCCTTATCTGGTGAAGAAAATAGACATATAAGTCCAGGAAGTGTAGAGAGTCCCAAACAAGATGAACCCAAAGAGGCTCACATCAAGACACATCATAATTCAAACACCAAAGGTTAAAGGCAAAAGGAGAATCTTAAAAAGAGCAAGAGAAAGGCAGTTAGTTACCTACAAGGGAGCTCCCAGAAGACTGTCAGCTGATTTCTCAACAGAAACTTTGCAGGCCTGAAGGGATTGGTACAAATTACTCAAAGTGATGAAAAGCAAGAACTTAAAACCAATGTTGCTCTACCCAGTAAGTCTATCATTTAAAATTGTAGGAGAGATAAAGAACTTCCCAGATAAAAAAAGCTAAAGGAGTTCATCACCACCAAACCAGTATTGAAGAAATGTTAAAGGAACTTCCTTAAGAAGAAGAAAAAGGGGGAGGTGTCCATAAATATAAATAATAAAATGACAATAACTACATACCTATAAATAATCACTTTAAGTGTAAGTGGATGAAATGCTCCAATGAAAAGACATATCTGAATGGATAAGAAAACAAGACTCATACATATGCTGCCTATAAATGACCCACTATAGATTGAAGACACACAGAGACCGAAAGTAAAGGGATGGAAAAAGATATTTTATGCAAATAGAAAAGAAAAAATAAATTGGAGTAGCAGTACTTATATCAGACAAAATAGATGAAAACAAAGGCTATAATATTAGATATAGAAGGACATTTTATAACGACAAAGGGATCAATCCAATAAGAGATGAGGATATAATTCTTGTAAACCTTTATGCACCCAACAAAAGAACACCTAAGTATGTAAAACAAATATTGATGAATATAAAGGGAGAGATCTACAGTAATACAGTCATAGTAAGGGACTTTAACACCACATTGACATCGATGGATAGATCTTGTAGAGAGAAAATGAACAAGGAAACAGTGACTTTAAATGACACCTTAGACCAGATGAATTTAATTGATATTTTTAGAGCATTTTACCCCAAAGCAGCAGAATATACAGCTTTTTCAAGTACACATGAAACATTTTCCAAGATAGACCACATGTTAGGCCACAAAACAAATCTCAATAAATTTAAGAAGACTGAAATCATATCAAGGGTCTTCTCTGACCACAATGGTAGGAAACTAGAAATTAATTACAAGAAAAAAAAACTGAGAAACACACAAACAAATGGAAGTTAAATAATATGTTACTAAAAAATGAATGGGTAACAATGAGATCAAGGAAGAAATAAAAATATATCTTGAGACACATGAAAATGAAAGGCACAATGTCCCAAAATCTATGGAACACAGTGAAAGCAGTCTTAAGAAGGAAATTCACAGCAATATAGGCCTAATTCAAGCAACAAGAAAAATCTCAAATAAACATTATAACCTTACACTTAATGGAACTAGAAAAAGAACAACAAAGTTCAAAGTGAGTAGAAGAAAATAATAAAAATCAGAGTAGAAATAAATAAAATAGTCTAAAAAATACAAAAGATCAATGAGACCAAGAGCTGTTTTTTTTTTGAAAAGATAAACAAAATTGATAAAGCTTTAACCGGATTCATTAAGAAAAAAAAAGAGAGGACACAAATAAACAAAATAAAAAATGAAAGAGAAGTGACAACTGATGCCACAGAAATACAAAGAATTAAAAGAAAATACTATGAACAATTATATGCCAGAAAGTTGGACAATCTGGAAGAAATGAATATATTCCTGGAAACATACAATTTTCCAAGACTGAACCAAGAAGAAACAGAAAATCTGAATAGACCGATCACTACTAACAAAATTGAAACAGTAATAAAAAAAACTCCTAACAAACAAAAGTCGTGGACTGGATGGCTTCACAGGAGAATTTTACCAAACATTCAGAGAATTAACACCTATTCTTAAACTAGTCCAAAAAAATCAAGAAGAGAGAAGTTCCCCAAAGTCATTTTATGAGTCCAGCATTACCCTGATTCCAAAACAAAACAAAGGTATTACAGAAAAGAAAATTATAGGCTACTAATCCTGGTGAACATAGATGCAAAATTCCTCAATAAAATATTAACAAAACCGAATTTGGCAATACATTAAAAAGATCATATACAATGATCAAGTGGGATTTATTCCCAGAATGCAATTGGTTCAATTTTCACAAATCAATTAACATGATATGCTATATAAACAAAATGAAGGATAAAAATCATACGATCATATCAATAGATGCAGAAAAAGTGTTTGGCCAAATCCAGCATCCTTTTATGATAAAAACTCTCAGCAAAGTGGGTATAGAGGGAACACAACTCAACATAATAAGGACCATATATGACAAACCCACAGCTAACATCATACTCAATGGGGGAAAGCTAAAAGTGTTTTCCTTAAGATCAGGAACAAGATAAGGATATATACTTTCAAGATAAGGATATATACACTTTTATGCAACATAGTACTGAAAGTCCTAGCCATAGCAATCAGATAAGAAGAAGAAATAAAATGCATCCAATTTAGAAAGGAAAAAGGGAAAAGGAAAACTGTCATTATTTGCAGATGATGAGATACTATATATAGAGAACCCTAAAGATGACTTAAAAAAACTATTAGAACTGATAAGTGAATTCAGTAAAGTAACAGGATATAAAACTAACATTCAGAAATCTGAATGCATATTTATACACCAATGAATTATCAGAGAGAGAAATTAAATTTTTTTGCATCAAAAAGTAATAGAATATCTAAGAATAAATTTAATTAAAGAGGTAAAAGACTCATACTCAGAAAATTATAAGACATTGAAGAAAGTATTTGAAGAAGATACAAATACATGGAAACATATAATGTGCCCATGGATAGGAAGAATTAACATCATTAAAATGACCATACTACCCAAAGTAATCTATAGATTCAATGCAATCCATATCTAAATACTAATGACATTTTTTTTCACAGAACGAGAGCAAATAATTCCAAAATTTATATGGAACCAAAAAGACCCAAATAGCCAAAGCAATCTTGAGAAAGAAGAACAAAGTTGGCAATATCATGCTACATGATACCAAACTATACCACAAGGCTAAAATAATCAAAACAGCATGATACTGGCATGAAAACAGACACATAGAACAATGGAACAAAATAGAGATCTCAGAAATAAACTCATGTTTATATGACAAAAGAAGGAAGAATATACAATGATGTAAAAACAGTCTATTCAATGAATGGTGTTGGGACAGTGGGACAGATATGTGCAAAATAATGAAACTAGACCACCTTCTTACACTATATGCAAGAATAAACTCAAAATGAAATAAAGACTTAACTATAAGATCCAAAACCATGAAACTCCTAGAAGAAAACATTGGCAGTAAACTCTCTGACAGTGCTCTTAGTAATATATTTTTTTCTGATATATTTCCTTGGGCAGGGGAACAAAAGAAAAAAATAAACAAATGAGATTACATCGAACTAAAAAGTTTTTCACAGCAAAGGAAGCCATCAACAAAATAGACAACCTACTGAATGGGAGAAGATATTCACCAATGATACAGCTGATAAAGGATTAATATTCAAAATTTATAGTCTACGACCATGCCACCCTGAACATGCCTGATCTCGTCTTATCTCGGAAGCTAAGCGGGGTCAGGCCTGGTTAGTACTTGGATGGAAGACCATGTAGGAATACCAGGTGCTGAAGGCATTAAAAATATTCAAAATTTATAAAGAACTCATACAACTTAATGGCAAAAAAGAAAGAAAGAAAGAAAAAGAAGCAATCTAATTTAAAAAAAAATAGGCAGAGGATGTGAATAAATATTTCTCCAAAGAGGACATATAGACATATGGCCAATCGACATATGAAAAGATGCTCAACTTGACTAATCATCACAGGAATGTAAATTAAAATCACAGTGAAATATGACCTCACAACTGTCAGAATGATTATCATCAATAAATCAGCAAGCAACAAGTGTTGGTAAGGACATGGAGAAAATAGAACTCTTTTGCGCTGTTGGTGGGATTGCAAATTGGTGCAGCTACAATGGAAAAAATTACGGCAATTCTTCAAAAACCCAAAAATAGAACTACCATATGACCCAGGAATTCCACTTCTGGGTGATTATCTGAAGAGATCCAATTTTAAAGATATGTGCACCTTTATGTTCATTGTAGCATTATTTACAATAGCCAAGATATGGAAGCATCCATTAATAGATGAATAGATAAAGAAGTTATGGTATATATATATACAATGGAATACTAGTTGGCCATAAAAAAGAATAAAATCTTACCATTTCCAACAACATGGATATTAGTATAATATCCTAGAAAATATTATGTTAAGTGAAATAAGTCAGACAAAGAAAGACAAATACCATATGATTTTACTTATCTATGGAATCGAAGAACAAAATAAATAAACAAACAAAACAGAAACAAACCCAAAGATACAGAGAACATTTAGATGTTTACTAGATGGGAGGGAAGTTAGGGGATGGGTGAAAAGGGAAGGAATTAAGAAGTACAAATTAGTATTTACAAAATAGTCACAGGGATGTAAAGTAGAGCATAGGGAATACAGTTGATAATATTGTAATAGCTATGTATGGTGTCAGATGGGTACTAGACTTAACAGGGGTGATCACTTTGTAAGTTATATAAATGTCTAACCAGTATGCTATATACCTTAAACTAATGTAAAATAATATATGTATATTATTTTTAGGTGAGGCAAACCTTGGTTGACCTCAGATTGCAAGGACCTTGTCAGCTTACAATCCCTAATCTTTTTATTTTTTATGCCTACAGCACCTGGTCTTCCTAGGTGGTCTCCCATCCAAGTACTAACCAGGCCCAACCCTGCTTAGCTTCCGAGATCAGATGGCATTGGGCTTGTTCAGGGTAGCATGGCTGTAGACTAATATCAAATAATATTAAATGTCAACTATAAATGAAAGTAAAGAAAATGTGGGTTAAACACAATAAAAAATTATCTAAAAATTTTTAAAATCTTATATTTTGAATATACTAGTACACTCCAAGAAGAGAGCTAAAGTATATAATGTTTCCCAAACTTATTTGATAATAGAACCCTTTTATCCCCAAAAGATCAATGTCCTATGGAACCAATAGTTGGAAATGCTTATCTAAATACTATCCAATATAAGCATGAGTCATCCATCTAACAGTTGTTCAAAGCTTTTATGGGCTGCCTTAACAGCAGTGAGTTAACTGACCCTGGAAGAGAGCAAATAGGCACAATGACTCCTTGGGAGGGATATTGTGTAGGCTCTTAGCATTGGTCAGGGTTGGAGGATTAACTAGATGCTCTCGCAGCTTCGAGATTGGATGAATCTCTTATCCTCGCTTAAGGTGCTTCACATGGAGAAAAGAGATCTCAGAAGAAGCTCTGGCAGGGGATGGGATGTCAGCTGACAGCTTGAGGAGGCCTTATGGCATCAATGGTGTCAGGCTGATATATTTGTTAGAAACAAATGGACAACTGAGGTCTTGAGAGAAGTGATAACCTCAAGGCTACTTAGTGAGCTAGTGGCAGAGTAGGAGTATAACCTGACCTAAGTAGTTATGTTCACCAGTGCCATCTCTCACCTGAGAATGTGAGTGGGTATTGCAGCTTCACAAGGGCAATGTCCTTCTCGTTGGGGTGTGTGGTATTGAGCTCAGTGATGAAGATCTTGTCCACAGGCAGAGATGGAAAATTGCCCAATTTGTCTGAGCCGGCCCTCACCCTCCAATTGGACACATCATGATACTTCCTGAGGCAGAGACAGTGAGGTTTGGGGCAGAGACAGTGAAGTTCAGGCCTGAGCCAAGCATGAGGATGCTTTGCCAAAGGCTGAGTCCCTAGGGCCCTGGGGATTGGGGTACTGGGTGTCCCTGCCTTAGGACATAACGATGGTGGCTTCAGGGGTAGTGGAGAAGGGACAGTCTGAGGAATCACCTACCACAGGCCAAATTCTAAAAGGGAATTTGAACCTTTTCCCCCAGTGAAACCTGACTAAGAAAACTAACTAGAAGGCGGGGGAAGGGGCTGTTCCCAATGCCTGAGCTCTGGGGCCCTGGCACTGTCCCCTCCTGTGCTTTTTATTATTATTGTTACTCATGTGGTACTTGTATTATGGTCAGTTATGTTATGTATTTGTCTTTCTTCCTCCCTACATGAGACACAGCTTAGTGTGCACGTATGGTTTTCCAGGAAAGGATTTATAGCTTTTGTCAGCTTTTCAAAAAAAGTTAAGAATCACTGGCCTAGACTGTGAGTTCCTCTAAGGTAGTAATGGGGCACATGGACACACAATATAATTTTTGGTATCTAGTAGGTATTCAGCAGATGTTGAATGAACAAAAGTGAAGAAGGCCCGGGAATGGTCCTTGCCTAGAGAGGTGGACAGGCCTCTCTTTGCTGGTCTATAAGAAAACATATACTTTTTTTTTTTTACAGTTTCTGGACATGCCAAGGGAATGGCAGTGACTCTAGACCGTAGAACCACTTCCTAGAAGACTAGCAAAAAGGGAGAGAGTTCTCAAGACTCCAGGCACATGGGTAGAGCTTTCATGGAGTGAACTATATGGAGGTGGACTAAGGGTATTGGGTATCTGATGGCTTCCCATTTGGTAAGGGTCAAGTTAGGTGACTACCACCCTTTCCATGGAACCCCAGTGCTTAACATGGACATCATGTTCAGCATTTCATTGGTGTAGCCACACTCTGAAACTTGGTCTTTAAAGGGGAGGCTAAAGGGGAGAGATGGCATCAGAAGTCAAATCAGGAGACAGGGGATCCAGCAACTCAGACACCTCCATGGCTTTTACTCTCCCAAGGCCTCCTTGCAGCATGGGCCTTACCTGAAGCAGTGGGCTGCTGTGAGGATCCAATGGTGGTCCAGGATGCTCCCGCCACAGAAGTGGTGTTTGTTGTACTGGATGCTGACCTGCCAAGGCCAAGCATCCACAGGGGCCTTCTCCCCGCCCACCACCCGAGGGGCCTTTAGGCTTTCCCCGCAGGCTGGACTCGGTAGTAAGGAGAGAGAAAGCAGAAGTCAGGCTTTTGGAGGATGGAGCTGCCTCTCCTTAGAGCTCAAGTCTATCCCGAGCAGGCTGTTATGCCTGGTACCTGGGGTGGTGGTGGTGAAGAGAACCAGGCCAATTTTGAATGATTCATGGGGAGATATTGAGTTTCCGAGACCACAAACTTTCCCTGGTCTCTCTTTCCTTTTTATTTTATTTTTTCCAGTTTGGGATATGCTTAGGAGTTTATATTGTGAACATGAGTGTGTCCATTATGCTGGGAATTTATGACCCTTAAACCAAACTATGATGCAGAATCAGAATTATGAAAGTCTTACACAAGTGGACTGTCCCAAAGCTACTCCCACTGAGTAACAGTAAACAATGCCCACAGGTTGCTTTGGGAGCTAGGAGTGGGAAGAAAGATTCAGAAACTGGGTCTTCCTGTCCTAAACTCACCTTTCTCCTAGTCCCTCCCCAACACTGAGTGAATCTCCCACTTTGACATCCTATTCTCTCTTTCACATTCCACTGTCCTAGATTTCATATCTGACCCTTGAACTCTTGTAAAAACCTCAAATTTCACTTTCCTGCCCTTTTCTCAGCCTCGCCAGTCCTTCTGGCAGCCACTGCCACAATGGCTTCTAAAGGTGGCTTCTACTGCCACCCTTCCTGGGCCTATGCTAGCCAGGGGCTTTTCAAAACACCATCTAATTCCAAACAGTGCTTTCTACATGTCACCTCATTCACTCATTCAAAGTCCTTTAGCATCTCTCTTTGTAGGATGGAGTTTAAACTCCTCCTGGCAACCTCCTACTATCCTTATATAAAATTTCTGTCTAGCCAAACTGATCTGCTTATAGCCCCCTAAAAAGTCATTCTGCTTTGGCTCAAGGAAGCCCCTGTCTGTGAGATACTATCTCCTCTTCTGTTTATCTAAATCATTAATTTATTCAGCAAATTTTCACTGAGTGCCTACTGTGTCTCAGGAATACTAGGAAGAAAGTGGTGGATAAGACAGGAAGACAGAGGTGATCCTTCCCTTCCTGGAGCCTACAATTCATTTTTCAATGTTTAGATTTGGCACCACCTCTGGTCACCTTGGGGGTTTCTCTCTCTTGGAATTTCCACAGCCTGCCCTGGGTGTTGGGCAGCCTTTCATTGTTATCATGTTTCAGTCTTATCTTCTCAGTGAGGCCTAAGTCTACTCAAGGGCAGGTCTAGGTCTTAAGCCTCTTTGTGACTTCAGTGCTATTCAGTGCAAGCGCATCAAATGATGTGACTATTCATTCATTCATTTACTAGTCTCTATGTGTTAGCCCCTCTACTGTAGGTATTGCGGGGGTTTCATGATCATGACTAAAATTCTTAACATTCAACAGGGAAGCATATATACTGTTAAAGTGCAAAGGCAGTGATGATGAACTTCTTCCTCTCAGGCTGTTTAGTTTCTGGTCATCCTTTCAGGCTCTGTTCAGTTCTTCTCCCATGAGGCTGGTAGAATGAGCTGGACCGTAGTGCTTGTTTTCTCTTCTGATCTCTTCTGTTAGAGTGAGGGAGTCTCCTGGAATCCTTTTGAGAAGTTGGACTAAAGGGCTTCATGGGAGGATGAACCTCAGAGAAGTCAGGTGACTTACTCAAGGTCATGCTGGAAGCCAGTGGGACTGGTGCCCAGGTCTCTTGATCCCTCATGCAGCTCTCTCTGTAGCATGTCAACTGTGACTGCTACTCAGTTGGCACTTCCTACATGTGGCTTTGCATCTCTGTTTGCTCAATTACAAATTCCTAAGGATAACAGCCAATTCTTTTACCTGTAGGGTATTTTCTACTTTTCATCAGTACCTGACAGTGCTAGACACATTCTAACTGTTCAATAGATCTTTGCTAAACAGTGTGGATAATCCGATCTTGGATAATTATGGTGATTGTAATAAAAGAAGTTGTGTGGGCCCTGACCAGGAGTGGGAAGGATAGAGGCCCTGTCCTGCCTTTTATAGTTTTCCTACTCTCTCTCTCAGGTCTCTGCTCAGGTTATGGGAGGTAAGAGGAAGTTCTTAATATCAACCACTTGAAGGAGCATTGATTTACAAGCCCAAGGGCCAAAAAAGTAAGGTTGAGACAAAACAGAGTGAAACTTGGAGTCTGAGAGATTTAAGAATGAGAATGAAAATCTTCCTCCTTTACCATTGCTGGCCCAGGACCCAAACCCTCAGAGATGGGACATACTCACCAAGGCAGTGCAGGGAAACCAGGGAGCCTGAGAGACAGGGTCTGGAAGAAAGACATGGAGGTCTTGTGGTTTCCATTTCTCTGTTGGCTGGAAGGCAAGGGCTCAGGTCTTCTGGCACTATTGAGTCAAGTCCCCTCCCAATGCCTGGGAAATATGGAACCTGCATAGTGGGGACTGTATAGAAACTACGCTGACACTCAGTTCAGTTTGATTTAATTTGACTGAATTCAACACTCCCACTGATAAGTATCTACAACATGCTGGGCCCTGACAAGTGGGGCTCTTGGCAACCTGCGATGGAAGAGAGCAGAATCTGGAACAGTGTCTACTGCTCTGTGGGTTTTCTAAACAAGAAAATAATGTAATTTCGATGGAATTCCAGGCAAAGGGTCATTCTGCTCCCATCCTGTCCTTTTTGAGATTTACTTTTTGATAAATGAGCAGCACTCAGCAACATCCCTGAATGCTAAGAAACCAATGCCCCCTCTGAGCCACTCTGCTGCAGGTGACAGTTTTCATTTAGACTTATGCTCTAATGCAGGGTGGTGAGGCATAGGTATAGGTTATTGCAATCACCATGCAGTCTCTACTCTGGAGAGTTGGGAGTATGGAGAGGTCTTACTCTAGCCTGGGTGAGTGACAGGGAAGAACAAAGTGACCTTTGAAATATTGCCTGCTGGGCTTAAGAGGGAATACAAGGCAGTACAAAAAAAAAAATTGGTTTTACTATTCAACTGATGAAAAAGCCACCAAGGTGTTAACAGAGCACTTTGCTCAGCTGTCCACTGTATTAAAAAAAAAGTTAACACAGAACATCTCTCAGATATATAATTCTCTAGCTCTTAGTATCTAACAGTCTGGCTGGCCAGGAGTTCTTCTTGTTGTCTGGCTTACAATCCCCTTGCTGCGTCTATTCAGCAAAACTCGATGGCAGCCTCCATGTGTGAACCTTCTGTGGGCCAGAGGGTGTCCTCTCACTTACCCACTTGGGTTTTGCACCTGAAGCTCCTGGCTATTTGCTATAATTTCAACAACATCCAGATCTTGATCTGGACCAATCTTCACAGCTCTGAAGACGGGTTTGCTGTTCACACTGGGAGGGAAAAAGAGAGAGATATGAGTTGGGGCAGGAATTTAGGACAAGATGGTGGGAATAGCCCTCATTCCAAGGAGAGAGGGTGGCAGAGAATGCCTGGTGAAGCATGGCAGGGGAATGGAGGTGGTCTTGGTCAGTGAAGGTGGTGCCTGCTTTGCTATATAATAAGGGACATTCCCTTGGCATCCTAGGACTCAGCTCTAGGTGCATTGCTGACGCGGTCTTGCTTTCTTGGGCAGAGAAGCCTAGTTCTGAATCCAGAGCTCTGGAGAAATGTTAGAGATAATCTTTTCTAACTCCCAGTTCTGTCCCTATTTCAAAAATCCCAGTGGTTTCTTTTGTTTCACAGCGAAGAGAAGAAGGAGGCAAAGAATCCCAGGTTAGCCACCCCTTCCCACCTGGGGAGAACTGGAATCTGGATATTTGGTTCTCTAAACAAGACATCCAGTCTGAATTTGGTACTGGAGGTACATTTATAGCCTCTTTACAGATAAGACAGGACAAGATCAGGCTTCACATGAGTCCAAATAAGCATATCTCTCACTTGGACCACTCTTTTTTCTTTTCTTTTCTTTTCTTTTCTTTTCTTTTTTCTTTTCTTTTCTTTTCTTTTCTTTTCTTTTCTTTTC